GCAAATACTGTACATTTATAACACTTCATCAATATTGAATATTTTGAAAGCATCCAACTTTTTTGACCATGTTTAAACAAATAAATTACAATTATCATCATATCATATTTTTTAAATCAAGCGTAATTATTTTTAACTTTACAGTTCCAAGCGACCATTGTCTGAAGTTTACTGCAACCAGGGTCCAGTACGTAGGTCGATGAGGTTGAAAGGAAGTCCATCAGATTATAATCCTGTATCCAAGAAACCAAAATATGAAATGGATTCATCTACACAAATTTAAACCGATGCAATAAGCCATTACCACTGCCATAGGATGATTTACTTGAGCAATAAGGCATTGATATAACCAGTAACTGAAAATAAGCATGGAATTGAATGTGTATTAATTTTAAGCTTACAGCCGTTTTGCATATTTTTGTCAAATTAAATTTGCAAATTGTAATATTCAGATTCTAAAAGGCAGGCCATACTGCTTTGAGAAACAGTCTATGATTCGCTTCTGTGTTGTTTGCTAGATATACTGGTAATGCAAAACACGGAAGCTACTCTGCATTTTCACTAATTCAACATTTAGCAAAGAATGTTTTCTCACAATGTGATTGGTAGAACTTAATTAACTAATTAAGGCACTGCTAATTTATGCATTTTGCTAAAGTAACTATAATGTAATGTAATGTAGTTCCTACTCGTAATATTATTCTGACACTGCCAGAATGTTTGCTTATATTGCATTGGTGTTCGCAACTCATTGCTACCATATTTTCTGCACTCTATAATAACACCCAAGTTGCTTGACCTTCATTTTATTTACCCTTTATTATATACGTAATCTGTTTCCATAAAATGACACTGCCCTTTAACAGACAAAATAAAGCTGATTTTATGTTATTATATTATGTATGTAGACAATAAATTAAATTCAATAATTTTATATATAAAAGACTATACTAAAAATATTTATATTTCTGCTATCACTGCCAAAACCTTTTCTTATCAGTAAATATACAATATTTTGCTTGTTTAATCACTTAATTACACTTAATTAAGAAAATCAAACGAGTGTGTATATATTTGGAGATGATAACTACCATTATTAATCATGGTGTGAAAGGCCACTTCTGCCATACACTTGGTGTAGTCAATTGATTTTTACACTACACTAGACTAGACTTGAATTGAATTGACCAATAATTTGTGTACAACATGTGTTCCTATTTCAGTGTTGTTTGCAGCGTAACTGTTAACAATAGTAGCAAACATTTCCATTTTAGTGCAAGACAGGCTTATGGTGCATGAAAGGAATTTTTTTTTTTTTTTTACCTATAATAATTTTTCCCAAAGTGACATCACACACTTCTTTATTCATAATAGTAATTAAGCTGAACTTCTGGACATGTGGGAGATTTATTCCCCCTTCATGACAGTATTTTGAACTTGACTTGTATTATACAAGAGTGTTTTTGTGTGCAGTGAGATGAATGTCATCCATAGTGCAACAATTGGATGAGGTACAGCTCCCTTGTACATGGACATGTACGACAACTCATTTGTATGTGCATGTTAACCTGTATATAAATGTAGTTAATAAATGGATATATCTTCTGTATTTGTAATTCATATCTGTGTTTAATGCATACATATCTTTTCTGTCTACTTTTTGTCTTTCTTTTTTATTCCCATCTGTATATGACTATATTTACTGCTATGTAGTTTGAATAAATATATTAAAATGAGTTTATGAAAATAGAAAGTGTTGTTTTTATGTTTAAGAATTTAAACAAATTTTGAAAAAAAGAATGACAGAAGTATGTTCTGTAAAGACTATAGTACAGTTAATCACGCAAGTAGCAGTGCTGCTCTGATCAGAAAAAAATTCACAAGACTGGGCGTCATATTTAAGATACTGACCGTAAGTATGGCTGTTACACTATAAACACCATGGCTATGTGGTGTGATTAACGACTTGCACCTTGACGATCTACCACACTACTTCGCTGCCAGTGCTGCCAGTGCTGTTATGGTATCCAACGAATATACATTTTTTCCTATCTTTTACATCAGTGAAAATAAATTCCTTACAAAACACCTAAAAAGTCTTTTCAGCGAAAATTAATTCCAGTGAAAATAAAGTTTTTTACAGTAAGTTGAAGTACTCTAATTGACATCTAAAATAACGAACTGTGAGTTCAGATGTACCGGACACTAAAATATGTGCGAATTACTAATCTACATATGTGTGACCCAAAACTGTTTTACTAATATGGCTGTTACTAATAAAAAATGTTGTGATTACAAAATCTATATAAAGAAAAAAGACCAAGTGTGAAATAAACATACGGTCAAGGTCACGTTACCAAGAATGGTATACATCAATATTGTTTCGTAATCCAATAAATAAACAATAGATCAAATATTTGTTATCTGTGATGTGCTTGGATGATCAATATGTTTTGCTCCGACTCGTTCTGCCATTGGTGATATTGAACAAGAAAACTTCTAAGGAGTGCATGAAAACTGTCTTCTATACAGTGTTTGTGGCAGTGAGATGGCCCTAGACAATATCTGTGATGGGTGAGTAGATGGCATTGTTTGATATATATGCTGTTATTAGATTACAAAAAAAATTACCATTTTATTTATGTAATGAAAAATTAAATGATCATTATACTACCCATTAAAAAAATAGATTGTCACCCACTCCATCATTAAATAAAAAAATACTAATATTCTGACCAGTGTAAAAATAGTGGTCATTATAACTACCAGTTTGAAAATGCTGGTCAATATTTTGACCAGTAAAAAAGTTCTGGTTGATATTCTGGCCATTAAAAAAAAATAGTGGCCATTAGTCACCGCTCTGCTCGTCGGCGACATTAGACCACGGTTACTACTACCATTGAGTTTGTGTATAGTTATTGAAATAGTTCTTATCCCCCGGGAAGTTGCCTAGTATTGATAAGATGGAGAACCAAACGATCTGATCGGACCCAGGTGAAAAAAAAAAAGAATTTCAACATCACAGCAGTATTTCCGTGTGTGTGTGTGAATCAGCTGTAACTGGGTAGTCTGACAATGCTAGTAGTTGTAATGCAGGGAAATAGTAGATCTTTTGTTGATTTCAGTCTCACATGGCTACATGTACGTCACTTGGTTCAAATCTGCTATTGTTCACCCACGACATCTCGCCTCTTATAATTAATGAACTGATCTTTAAAATTCTAGTATCTCTCCACCACGACTTAATAAATTGTCCATAACAGCTACATGAATACATGAACCATATTCCCCGGTTTTACTGTATCATGAAATGTTGTAACTGTGCGTCCACAGCTCTTGGTGTTGGTATTTTTTAGTCATTTGGTGTTAAATTTACCGGGGTATTGTTTTTAGATATTAAGATTTTATCGACACAGAATTGAGCTAGAAATGTTGTTTCTTTTATCTATGATTCAACAGACAATTATATACCGGTAGTATATTCCAATGAATGGTTTAGAGAAAATAAAATCAGATCGGGAATTTAACCATTTTTGAAGGAGGCTTATTGAAATCGAAGAAACGAAACGAAACACACATAATGAAAATTAAACTGTAATCAGTGAAAATGGGTTTTATACGCACAGTATTTACAAAGTATTTGCCGAAAATAATATTTAACCAGTAAATGGTTCGTTTCGCTAATTACAGATAATCAAAAATCTGTAATCAGCGAAAGCAAGGGTCTTACACGTACGATATTTGCAACTGTCGGTCGCAACTTGACCAGTATGTTCACTTTTCTGTCGTATATATAACGCCTTAAATCATTTGCCGAAAATAAAAATATTTAATTAGTAAATGGTTCGTTTCGCTAATTACAGATAATAACAAATCTGTAATCAGAAAAACAAGGGTCCTACACGTACGATATTTGCAACTGTCGGTCGCAACTTGACCAATATATTCACCTTTCAGTAAAATAAAGGCATTTTATTCAGTAAATCGTTCGTTTCGCTAATTACAGATAATATATAATCAGCGAAGTGTCCTACACCTGAGGGGCTACTTCCACCTTAAATGGGCAGGGGCGTGCATCCGTCCACCTCTGGTAAACCATACCCACGTCTAAACCATTTTTTCCCGATTTATATACCAACATCTGAACACAAGTGCAGTGGCGGATCGAGGGGAGGTCTCGGGGTCCGGACTCCCTCCCATTGGAAAATGTATTCCATTTTTGTTTGTATAATATAAACAAATCATTAACTTTGTCTGGCGATTTTAAAGTTTGGACCCCCCCCCCCATAAAAAAAATCCTGTATCCGCTCCTGAAGTGTTTTCTCACATGGGCATGTAGAGTCATTTTGTCCTCAGACTATTAATACATTTGTATTACTAGTCTGAGTTTTCTCTAACGAATTCGCTGCTTCTAAATCAAAACATTGAAAAATGACTCCCCTCTTCTAAAAAAAAACAAAACAAAAACAACGTGAAATGACACCCAGGCGGCATATACCCGTATTACACGTCTCTGAAAGTAGCCCCCCCCCCCCCCATTGTCAGTCGAAACTTGACAAGTATATTCACCTTGAAGTTTCTGTGGTGTATAATAACTACATAAAACATTTGCCGAAAATCAGTAAATGTTTCGTTTCGCTAACTACAGAAAATCAGAAATCTGTAATCAGCGAAACATGGGTCTTACATGTAGGATATTATTTACAACTATTGGACGAAACTTGACCAATACATTCACCTTTCAGTCGTGCATATACTTATTAATTATTGAGACTTCGAATCAGTATTGTAAAAAAAAATAAAAAATTGGAAGATAAAACACTAGAAATATAAATCAAAACGAAATTGTGTAAATTTTCTGGTTTGTTGAACAAGTCTAAGTTTGTGTTTTACTAGACTGAGGTGTTTGTTGTTACATTCGGGCAGTAAAATCTCTAGAATGCGTAAAATTATAAAAGAATTCTGTTCATTTATATCACATCTACAATCACTGAAAAAGTGAAGAAATCTGATGATTGCCCACCGAGTACTTTTTTGATTGACTGGGTTTGCGCTAATACTGAAATTTCCCTTTTTACTCATGTTAAATATATAATTGATGTCCCGCAGTCCCGAAGGAGAATTGTGCTATTCAGGCAACACATTTATTTTCTTTTTAGTATATTTTTGAGAGAAGAATAGTTCACATATTACATTGGCAGAGTAGCGCCCTCTCGTGTTTATTCTCCTCGAACAAAAGTGTCCGTTACACTAACTTTGATACATTTTTAATGTTAATTTTTTGCTATTTCAGTAATATAGAACATTTAATATTATATACTAGTACTTTTCTATCAAAAATATAAGACTACGACGAGTTTTAATTTAATACAAATGAACGGCTCGTAACTTGATCGAGGATAATTTCATCCACACCGGATGTTACAAAGAAAACGAGTGCCAGTTCAAGCACGGTATAAATCCTTTCGAGAAAAGAAATCGTCGTTTTCGCTTCGCTTTACTGGAATGTTAAGTGAGTTTCTTGAAGATTCTTAAATTATTCTGGTGTTCGTATATTCGTGATTTTGTGACATAAAAGACATTTGTACACGGTAAGTGCAATGCAAGTTTAGAGGAATCACAGGTCTTGCAGTTGACCCCAAAGGTCTGAGCACAGTCGTCTGAGTCGAGCTTATTTCACATAAGGGGAACCACTAGTAACCGTGGGGGAACCTAAAGTGACCGTGAACTTTCAGCGATCGCAGTAGAGACATTACAGAATATATGATCTTTCGTTTGATTTTAAGATTAACAATGGCTCTACTTGTAGATTTAAAAAGAAGACAAATTTGATTTGATCATGGATGTACTAAGAAGTTAGTACATCCATGGTTTGATGAACATCAAGGTTGTTGCGGTGTTTGGATGGAATGTTTGTTGACACTTGTGTGCCGCGTCACCGGACGAGAACCAGATGTCTCGGTGACACGTTGAACTTATTTAAGTAGACTGTAACGCAAATTAATTGTACCATGTATTGTTTTAGTCAATACTAAGTGCAAATGTATACCTAAATGTATGACGTTTTAGTTTTTAAATTTCTACAGTCTGTTTTTACAAATGACTGTTTACAAATAACAGTATTAAACACACACAAAGTTTGTAAACAAAACAGTAATAATTTTAATAATTTATTGACACAACACCGATATAGTACAATACGGCAGTATGGCCACTAAATACAACTATTAACTACATTTAAAATAGAATTAACATATTTGGCGAAACATTTC